AATTCGTTGCTCCTCTACATCATCTCTTCCAAGTAAGCCCACAATTTCAAAGAAATAACTTTTTTTCATAAAATATGTCCTTTTTTCCAAAAAAATTAAAAAAGGGAAAATTGGATTAAAAACACTGATTTTAAAAAATCGTTCGTGAACGACAGGAGTGAGACAGCCACTAAGCTAAAGTGATAATTCTTTCCGAAAATGAAATGAACGCAGGATCGTCAACAAGCTGACCATCAGGAGAGATTGCAGCACTAATCAAAGCAATAAATGGAAAAGCTATCGACTGCGTAGCTGAAGAAACACAATGTGAATTGCCGCTAATCAGATTACAAACAGCGTCACTTTAATCCATGGACAAAATCTGGGTGCGCATCTCCACCTACAGTTGTTACTCTGCTTCCGGTTCCAGGAACAAGGACGCCGCAGCACTACTAATCGTCCACATAGGCGGATCAAGGACTTACTCCTGGGGAGAGCCCGAGTCCCCTCCCACTCTGGAGCTGTGCAAAAACTAGGAATAGAGTTACAACACTGCTACTTAGAGTTACTTTAGCTTTATTTAAACAACAGACCCGGATTTTTATAACACTGGTGCCTATGACTTTTCGCCTCCCTCCCCTCCCCTCCCTCCACCTGTGATCGTCCAACTCTTCCAAACACAAATGCAGATGGACGAAAAATGCACTTATGTTTTTATTTGCACATTACCAATCATCAATGCCTCAGTGAACTCCGTCCGCTCCTATTCGATTATCTGTCAATCATTTGCCGCTTCAAATTATTTGCTTGATTTGTAAATATATTATTGAAATCACTTAGAAATACACTATCGAAATCAATTAGGCTTTGAAATTCGGTTGCGGCATATGTATATACCATAACACGCAATGTACAAGTGGTCGTTATATTTTTAGAGCAATATTTGCCTGGATATTTGCTAACATACGCGGTGTAGAGTAGTTTCTAGTTTGCTTCTAAGCAACTCTCGAAAGAGGGAGCCACCGGCACCCATGCCAGTGAGTGATTGCTGTTGGCATTCGGGCCACTTCCGAGTGCCTCTGTCTTTTATGAGGGCTGAAGCCAAACTGTTCATTGATGTAGAATGCCAAAAAAAATGTAACAAAAGTACCAAAGTACAGAGAAATTATTTTTTATAAAACATGAAACAAACTGTGCCCTATGTACAAACAACGAAATTATCACGAATTAATCTTGAAAGTATCCAGAAAATTTTGTAAACTGCTTTCATTTGCAGATCGCGACAGCAACGTTTCAGTAGCCAGCAACCGTTGCAATTTCGACGTACGTTTCCGTCGACGGCCGGACGATGACAACTTTTTTCCGGATAACCTAGAAGAGAATTACACGCAGATTAGTAATGCAGCAGGCTGTAATACACAACCACTGACCAATTGTGGACATGTTTCGATCTAACAGACATAATAAATGCGTTTGCATGCCAGGAAAAATAATCTAGGCAAGTAATGAGACAAAGATTACGGAGGCACGAAATGAAGAGCTCACTGTTACTCATGATATGCTAAAAGACGTGAGTGGGTCCACGACGGACTTCTGAGGAGGGCAGGGGGGAGCGGGTGGGGAAGGGGGGACGGAAGGTGGGGAGGATAGTCCTCTTTCAACCTGGGACTATGTAAAAGCTAGGAGGAGTTGTACCACTACTACTTAGAGTTACTTTGGGCT